ACACACACACACACACACACACACACACACACACACAAACACACTGTTGGCACCTAGAAATTTGCTGGTGCAACCAAGCCAAATTCACCCTCATACACACTGAATCAGCATCCATCTATAGTTGGGTTACAAGCTGCAGGAAGTCCCCCAAGCCTGGCACAACTACAATAGCCACCATAACCAGGAGCCTTCCTGCGTGTCATGAACAGCACAGCAGGCCACTGATCACCAAGTCGGAGGGCAGATGCACTCCCATGCCAGCCAAGAGCCTTGATGTACCTGTGATGGGGGCTCCGCAGGGCCCTCACAGGGCAGCAGACCTGGTGCAGCACGTTAAATGCAGAAGATGCCCAAAGGAGTCTGAATTCACTGCTTCGGACTATTACTGAGAGGCAGCCCTCCCTGCCAGCTCAAGCAAGGCAGGGACCTGTTCTGCTCTAACTTCTCTACTTAGAGAAAGCCCCTCCACAACCTCAAAGTACCCTTATTTTTGGAAAGAAAAGTAGGGGTCTAATCAGTCCCACCCAGTGAGCATACCCCAGTGGAAGGAGGCTGGATTTGAGGGGTGCTGCTAAGTTACAGTTCTCCCACAATTCCAGGCTCCCAGAGCACGGAGGAATAGAGCAACCAGGAGGGTGCCCTTGGCCTCAGCCCAGCTTCTCTTTCCTCTACCCAGTCCTGCCCTGTTCAGGCCTTCTGGGCAGTGTGGCCCAGAGCCCCTGCTGGGCTTGTCACTGGCAAAAACATTAGAGAGAAACAGATGTAGCCATTGATTTTCTACTAATACCATGGCAAGAGGCCCATTTGAGAAGGGCTCTTGGGGTTTGGAAGCCAGTTCAGCCCCAAGGTTAGAGAAAATGAACAGGGTTGGTCTTAGTTCCGGGATCACTTATCCCAGCAGTCTCTTTCTGGAAGATCCCTTTGCCTTTCCAAGGGGTAGCTTTCCCTCTTGGAGGATCTAATGTTTGCCCTTAAAAATGTGTCTGTTTGCATTGAAAGCACCTCATCTCTTGGAGGGAAAAAGAACATTCTGGACCTGACCTGAGCAGCATCCATGCCCAGGGGCCACAGAAGGTTGCAGCATCTGGGAAGACTCTGGACTGGGAGGGTGACAAGAGACCTTGCACAAGGCACTGTCCCCACTGCCACCAGCTCAGTATGTGGTAATGCATCCCACCCAGAGGCAGAGGGGTGGACTGAATGACCTGCAAAGAGCCAGGGAGCTGCAGGGCAGAGCCTCCCCATTCAGCAGGCGGAAGACCCCACATTCCACTCCCACAGGGATGGCCCCACCCCCTACAGAGTGCCCCATGGCACCCGTAGCCCATTAGGGCCACTGACATTCTTTGAACACAGTGTCCCACTGTTGTCCCCCTTGGCAAGCCTAGAGCTGCCCCAAGTGCATGGACAACCATGTTCTCTCCCTCTTGTCTCTCTCTCTGGAAGGGGAACTGGACACGGTGAAGGGGAGAGAAGAGAGCCCATTGTTCCTCAGCCAAGTTGGGATGTCTGGACCCAAGCTGACAGCCATGGCAGAGAGAGAACACCCTCTCTCACATCCCAGACACTGACCGATAGTAAAACAGCCTGCTCCCCACCTTCGCCCTCTACTTTCTGTCTTCTGGGCCCTTCTGGCATGTATATACATACACACACACACACACACACACACACACACACACACACACACACACGGCAATTTTAGAAGCTGAAGCCCTAACACCTGTCACTTTGTGTACTGTAGCAAAGCTCTACTGCCCTTGCCCAAGTCACGTGGACAAATAACCTGGTATCAGCTTCATCACAGCCACCCCCACACCCCACTGGCCAGCTCCACCCCCCACAGACCCAGCTCTTCTTTCCAGCCTTCCAATTTCCAAAAGACTGGATTCCTCAGCTCCAGATGGTAGGGCCAGGTGTCCAACTGTATGCCGGGGGCTCCAGAAGTGAGGGGGTCCAGGAGGATGGCCACCTGCTGGGCCAGGGCACCAGGAAGCCACACAGCGCAGCAATCACACCAGCAGCCCTAGGGCAAGCCATGCCAGCTCCCCTTGGATAGGGCATCACCCCAGAACCTCCCAAACCCCAGGCCCATCTGAACACTGCACTCCCCACCACTGGGCCAAGAAAAGGAAAGAGAGAGGAGCGGAGGAGGAGGGGCAGTCTGCTAGAGCCATCTCCTCATCCCCAAGGCTGGGAGAAGGAGGGTCCATGAGGCACCAGGTGCTGACACTGGGACTCAACAGCTCCCACCCACCTACAGACTCTTCCTGAACCACTGAAGGCCACCGCAGGGGGCAAGCCTGAGAACCATCTCTCCTGACAGCGGCCTCAGGCTTGGAGGAGCAGGGACTGGATGAGGGGACTTCCTCCCCAGGGCTAAGAGCCTCAGGGCTCGCATGTCCAAGAGGCTGGGGGTAGCATCAGTAGACAACATCATCCTCAGATAACATAGCACAGCCCTGATGCAGGGCCACCAGGCCCGGGGTTTGCACACCATGTGCAACACTCAAGGCAGGCCTGTCACTACTGCATTTTTCAAAATGGGAAACAGCTCTGACTAGGGAAGAAACTTGCCCAAGGTCACAGAGTCCAGCCCTGGCAGGGCCAGGACCACTGCTCAGACTTCTGACTCCTGACTATGGGTCCTAGGAGGAGAGACTGGGGGAGAGATAAGATAGGATACTCTGTCCCCAGAGTGTGCCATGCTCCAGAGTGGACAAGGCAGCAGACGTGGGACACCACTCTTGGTCACGCAGCCTGGCTCCTGCTGAGACCTGGCCCCGCAGCCTAGACCCTGTGCCTGGAGTGGCAGAGTGCCAGACTGTCAGAATCCCTCATCATGCACCTCACTGCAAAGGCCCGCATCCCGCATCTCTGTGGGGCCCCGGAAGTTTGTCCAGTTACTTCATACCCTGCTGCCAGCAGGCAAGGCCAAAGCTAAAAGCATCAGGCCTGCGTCCATGCAGAGTGGAGCCTTGGCTCATGCAGCGGGAAGGAGGGAGGTTGGTGAGAGAGAGGAGGACGATGTGGATAAGGAGGGGCAGTGAGAAAAGGGGAGAGACGGAATGAGAAGGAAGGGAGGGAGGGAGAAGAGATGGGAAACAGGAGGAGATGGAAAGAAGGAAGAAGGCAGGCAAAGGGCTTGGAAGGAATAGCACCCAAAGGAGAGGAAGAGAGAGAAAGCGGGAGCAACAACAGGGCTGAAGAGCTACAAGGGAGAAGGGGAAGGACAAGGAACCAACCAGAGAGGGAGGCAGAGCGGTGAAGAAGAGGGGCCCGGAAGCTGCCACTCCATCCCAGGCCCTGCAGCCTGGCATTATATGCTGCCCACCCACCCCAGGGGAGCCGGCAGAAAGTAGAAGGCAGGCAGGGGAGGGAGACACCCGGCAAAGAAAGCCCCCACCAATGGCACAGGGGCAGACGGACATAAGGCACACGGAGAAAACAGGGGACACAGCACCAAACAAGACAAAACAAAACAAAAACAGACAGAAAATGAAGATCAGTTGGTGTTCTGTCTGGGATCTGGCCACACGCTGGAGGGAGGGGGAAAGGACAGACAAAAGGAGAGGGCAGGGCTAGGGTCACCTTCTCCAGAGGGCAGGTGCCATCCTGCTGGCCAGCAGGGCACCATGTCCCTCTAGTTTCTAATGCTGGGACAGAGGAAGAAGTTGCCAGCCTGGGGTCAGGAGACTTCGGTCCTGTCACCTCCTGGCTCACCGGCTCCTCAATCCACATGATCCATCCGGGTCCTCCTCCTCTCATGGTCACCTGCCTCTTTCTGAATCCAGGTTGACACCACCAAGGGTCCCACCCCTTCAAGTCCTAGCATCCCTCAGCCCTTGATCTGCAGTCACACCGGCCTGAATGACTCCACCAAAGTCCTGAAGGTGAACCTGCCTGAATGCACCGGAAGCCCCTGCTGTGCCATCCTTTGCTCACCTTTCTGACTCCCCATCCACCTCCACACCACAGGGCCCCTTGCAAGTGGCCAGAGCCACCCCACCCCGGCTCCCAGGCTCATCTGATTTTTAGCCCTCCTCTAGTCCACAAGGGCTGCATGCCAGATTCTTTGATGCCTACGCCTCCTGTCTCCAACCTCAAGATGTGCAAGGCCCCACACTCAGTCCTTGGGATTGTCCCTACCTGTACTTCCCTTGGGAGAAATTTGTGACACCTCCCACTTCTCTAAACTCACCTCCCCCGCTGAAACTCCTGACTTTTACAATCTGAGCTTCTCAGATCTATCCTAGGCATCTCAAACTCCAATACATTTTGATACTCCCTCTTCCTAGATTCTCACCCTTCTCAGTAAAGAGTACCTATTATGCAGTTGTTCAGACCAAGCACCTCAGAGTTGTCCTTGTCTCATCTATCTGTAAATCTTGTTGGCAGCAACTCCAGAATACGCCCACAATCTGAATACTTCCTCCCATCTCCTGGCTTCCACCCTGATCGATAGCTGCAGCCCTAACTTGACTTCCTCCTGCCATCCTGGCCACACTGGTCCTTTTAGAACAAGCCAGATGACATCACTTTGTGGAGCAAATTCTTTCTAAGGCTTCTCACACCACACTATGCTAAAAACCAAAGTCTTAGTGTTTCTGGGGCCAATTGTAACCTGGCCCCATTCCCATGACCTCTCTGAACTCATGTTGATCGCTGCTCTGGCCACACCAGGAACACTCCTGTCTCAGGGCCTTTGCATTGGCTGCTCCATATGCTTCATCCCCCCGTCATGCAATGAAGCCTCCCCTGCCTGTCCTGTATAAAGCATAACCATTCACCCACCTTCTACTCCTCACTGGAACTTCACTGCTTTATCTCTCTGGCACTTATCAGACATCTAAAATAGTATATATCTACATGCTTATTTGTTTAGTATCCAACTCCACAAGGGCACAGGCTTTACCTGCTGTTGGCCATCATTTTCCCAGAGCCTAGACTAGCAAGTAGCACAGATTCAAGCTCACAATGATCAGATGAGCCATGAACTCAATCCCATACACATAATAAAATGTTTAAATTCTTAATCCATGTTCCCAAAGCCTGACTCTGATAGCTCCCTGTGTCTTTATCCACCCTTTATAATTTCATAAAGTGATGTCTCAGCCCCTTTTGTGCCTGAACAAGCTGCTCTGGCTCCCAGGCCTGTCCCCTCTAACCGCCTTAGTCTATTCTGTCAGTTTCTTTCTTTCTCTTCTTTTCCTCCTCTTTCCTCTCCCATCTTCAACCTTCTCCCTTCTTGTTCTCTACCTAAAAACATTCACATGACTCCTACATGTACAAAAAGTTCCCAATATCCTGCTACCCTTTTTAACTACCACTCCCTGCCCTTTTATCATAAAACCACTCCAGAGAGTAGTTGGATGCTGTCTTCACTCCCTCTTCACTCACTGGTCAGCCCCTCGTGGTCTGGTTTCTGTCACCAGCACTCAACTAAAACGATCCTTTAAAAATCATCAGGCCGTTGGCCAGCCCATGGACTCTCTCCGCCTTCTCCTCTTGATCTCTTCAGATTGACATTGCTAGCCTCCCACTCCTCCTCCTTGAAACCTTTTACTATCTTACTTCATGCTGACACATAGTTCTGGCCTCCTGTCACTGCCCTGAGCATTCATTCTGAGATCCCCTTTACAGCCTCCATTTCCCCTCAAGACTATTCTATCTAAGTCCTCTTCTCTCCATGCCTTATGACATAAAGAGCTCATCCACGCCCAGAGCTTTTCACTTCCACCCTTCTGAGAAAGATTCCAAAATCAAGCTCCCATCTATACATCCATACCTGGAGGTGCCACCGTCACCTCAAGCTCAATGTAGACCTAACAACACTGTAGCCTCATCTTACACCATGCCAGCTCTTCCACCTAATATTGATGTGCTTCTTCCATCTGTGGGGCCTCGGAATCACATTCCGTGTCTGCTTTCCCCTCATCCACAGCAGCCAACTGATTTGTGATCACATTGGTTCTGCACTCAACAGATCATGCGGTCATCTCTTCTTTTCCATACCCACAGTCAAGACCCCAATGCAGTCCCCCAATGCATCTAGACTAACAAGGTCCTAGCCTCTCCCAGCCCAGTGTCCTTTCCATGTTGCATCCTTCCTGCACAGACCCACCAGATACCTCTTCCTATGCCTTAGCCTTCATCAGGGCACATTCTCCTGACCAAACCACAGTAATGACTTGCTACATATGCTAGGAAAAAGCCCAGCTCCTTAGTCTGGTATTTAAAACCACCTTGAGACAATACCCTGGCTGCCTTTCCTGAGTCTTCCTCTCACTGTCTATAATGCTCCTCACCCACTCACTATTCTTCAAACATTTTCTATTCTTTCCTAGCCTCACTATGACCTCTCTCTGTTTTGTAGCCTCATTTATTTTCAAAGTCCTATCTATCTTGCAAAGCTCAGTTTAAAACCACACTTCATAGCCTCCCAGACCTCTTCAAACAAGTGACCTCTTTGCTTCTCTCCCACAGAACTTTCTCCATACCTCTTATTACAAATGACTTCAACTCAAATTTCCAGTCCCCACCACCACCACCTACTAAACTCTAGACTCTTCAAGGATAAGATCCAAATCTAATTTTTAACATACATTGAAATCTCTACGTCTAGAGACATTCAGTATTAGTCTAATCACAGAATCAAGGACACAGGGTAACTCAGTTGGATTCCCCAACTCTAACTCACTGCCTTTTCTTGTCTTATTGCTGTGGCAAGGACATCTGACACAATGTTAAATGATAGTTGTGATACAGGCATCCTTAATCTATCCTTGGCTGTAAAAGGAATTCTTGCAATGTTTCATGAGAAAATTGATGCATGCTATCGATTTCTAGTATATACTCTTTCAAGTGAAGAAAACAGCTCCTACATTTTCTGCATTTCCAATGAAATAAAACATGAGGAATGGTTGGATCAAAGTGGAATGAACCAGGGACATGGTACTGAGGTATAAACAGGTAGAACAGCCAATGAGAAAAACGACTTGATGGGTAAAAGCCAAGCAACACCAGATCAAGTTCATGGCCACAAAGAGATTCTCCCTCAGATCTGAGCTTCCCAGGTTACTCATACTGAAGCTTATGTTCCAGCTTCTTCATTGCTAGTGTCATCATTCTTCAGGCACCTTCTCAACTTTGGAACTACATTTCTAGGGAATTTGGGTGGCCCTATTCCTCTCTCCTCAATAAAATCAGGAGGAAAAGGGTTTCTACTGACAAAGCAGTTAGGGAGGTGTCTTTAGGTCAGAACCCAGATGTGGCAGGAAGCAGAAGTCCAAGCCCCATCTGGACCACCCTAAGGAACATTTCACCCTTGGGGTCACACAGCTGCGCATCTTGTTGCCATGCTCAGGTAAACCGATAGTGTAATGAGGTCTAGACCAGCTCTGCAGGGGGAAAAAGCTGTGGCTGCCAAGCTCCATGGTGGAAAGACTTCCATTGCGGCCAACTGCAAACTACCACAAGGGGGGGTTCTCCACTCTGAAGCTCCTGCCCCGCACCCAGTCCTGGACCCAAACCCCAGAGCCAGCTGACCTGTCTCAAGCTGCTTCCCCAAAGCCACGATCCATCCCCAAGGAGGATGTCACCCTCCCTCCCTGCAGCTGGCATGGTGACTCAGCTTCCCCTAAATTTAGGAAAAGAGTGGAGGGCAGAGCCAGCTGCTCAGACACCTCTTCTTCCCTGAGTGCCTGCTGACACCCTGGCAGCTGAAGGCTGGGCACAGGACCCACCTGACCCTACAGCTCTGGGCTACCCAGCCTGCACTTCACCTCTCAAGACAATCAGACCTGAGGACTTCCTGCCTAGTCATAGTAGGGCCTTCAGTACTTCCAGCCGGCCTGTTTCTCCCTAAAACGTTCTTCAGCTGTCCCATACTCTCTATTCTCTGCAGATCTCTCTACATTTGCTCTGAGATGAAGAAGAGCTTTGTTTCCCACACAGAGCTGATTCTAAGCAAGGCCTAAAAGGATGGCTGGCCAAGCTGAAAAGCCCCATCAGGCTAAACACCAAAGCCCAAGGGCTTTAGGAAACTCTCTCAGCCATTGTTATAGTCTTGAAATGGGCCCAAGAGGGAAACTGAGTCCACAGAGACCTCCTACCCTCTCCACTCCTGCTCCAATAACTGCAGGCTGAGGACAAGTGTGGCGGACAGTTGCAGGGTTTCCTCTGTGCCTAGAAAGTCTACTCTAGTCCCAAAGTTACCACCCCAAGGAAGATCTCTCTGATTACCCTAGGTGGCGAGCCCTGCCTTCCCATGCAGTCTCACTTCTGTCAGAGCATACATTGCTCTCTGTCAGAATTAGCTGTCTACATACCCATCCTCTAACTAGATTGTAAACTCCTCAAGGGTGGAACTGATAGACATTGATCTCTGAATCTTAGAACCCAGCTTGGTGTGTAACAGACCCCAGGCCGAGCAGCACCTGCCAGAGGGTCATCTTTAAGCCTGTACTCCCCCCTCCCCAGCAAGACCAAGACTGAAGAGGGAAGGGATGGAGGGAGTATGGAGAACATGCTCCAATCTGATGGCCTCTGAGGCGCTTACCTGCCACCCTGTGGGCCACCAGCCCTTCCAGGTTCAATGGCTTCTCTTCTGGAGTTCGGGAAGGATCTGAAGCTGTTTCTTTTGGTGGGAGCTGAGGCTGAGTGATGAGGCCAGGGAGAGAAGCTGGGGGCTGCTGAGGCCCTGGAGGGCCATGGGAGGTTGGGAGGAAAGCAGATGAGGAGGAGGCTGGGCTCTTGGGACGGAAACCCTGATTGGGCCCAGCTGGACACAGCTGATAATCATAAGGTGAGTAAGATCCACCAGCAGAAACCAGCTCAGGGGTTCCTAAGGAATGCCCACTGGGGATGTAGCCAGACCTGGACTGGGTCAGTGGGTGGGACTGGTGGGAAGAGCCTGTAGAAGGCTGCAAGGAGAGTGGGGAAGCCCCTGGCCAGGCCCCCGGGACACTTTGGGACTTGTGCAGTAGGGTAGTGGCCGAAGCTGGCTCTAGGTCCAGCATGAGCATGTTTAGGGCTTCAATGGACTGCTCGATCTCCTGCTGAGAGGCTGCCCTTGGGAACTCCGGGAGAGCAGGGATGGGGGGCTCTGTCAATGGCTGGGGGCTGGGCCTGCTGCTTGCCAGACTCTCCAATTGGACTCTTTCCTGCTGCCGAGGAGGTGGGAGAGGCTGCTGCTGCTGCCATGAGTTCAGCCCCCTCTGCACGGCTTCCCGACTGCTGCCCCCACGGGTTGGAGCCAGGGGCAGCTGGGGCTCAGCATCCGGAAAGGACTGAGAGCGGAACAAGCCACTGGGGTCGTGGCCATAGTGGGAGGTGGTTGTTGGCTGCAGCCAGGCTGGGAGGGTCCCCCCTCGCTGGTAGCCAGCTAAACCCTCCTGCGCAGAGTAGGAGGGACGCATAGGGACCACATGGCCGGCCTGGGCAGGCACTGCCCTGCTGACAGACTCGTAGGGGTAGCCCCCACCATTGACCAGAGGTTCCACTGGGTAGGACTTGTCCAGGCCGTTGGTCAGTGGGGACAGAGCTTCTGGGTAGTTCCCCTCACTGGTGTTGGTGACACCGTCCAGGGAGGATAGGGTGCCCATGCTGCCCATGCTGTGCCCATCTTGGTTGGGCAGCTCATCGTCCAGTATGTCTGTCTCCCGTTCAGATGCCAAGGCCCTGCCATTGACATGAACCTGGGCTGGGACGATGTGGCGGCCAGAGGAGGACGCGGCAGGGCCTCCTGCTGGGCGGGACCTGAGGTGCTGTGCGTGGTACATGGCACCTTGCTTCTCTCGCTCTAAACCAAAGCCACTGAGCAAGCGATCCAGCTCCCGCTTCTCCTCGGGGCTCAAGGAAGCAGGGGCACCAGAGGCCCCCGGGACAGGCTCATCTGTCTTGTCGGTTTTGGTGGAGGCTGTGGAGTTGCCCGAGTCACTGCTCACAGACAGTGTGTGCTCCACGTGATTGGGGGTGGCCGACAGGACAGGACGCGCCACGTTGATGGCCCCGGTGCTGCCGTTCAGGGAGTCCTTCTTCTTCACCTTGGCATATAGGCTCCCATCGAGGGGCCCCTGGGTGTGCCCCACCACCTCTGCAAGGACAGAGAAAGGGAAACAGCAGGCATCAGTAGAGGCAGGAATACTGGCTGTTACCCACATGAAAAAGAGCTAAGAGCTCCTCTTCCCTGGATAACCAAAGCTGCTCCTGCCACCGAAGAAAGGGCAAAGGGAAAGGACAAAGAACACCTACCCAGGTTTCAGTCATGGCTATCACCAACAACCAGCTTCAAGGATAAGAAGCCAAAGCTAGGACTAAGCAGGGGCCCCAGGGGCAAACTACCCATGTTCCAAGCCCATCTCTGGCATTTCACCAGCTTCCTAACCACAGAGGCACTTTGGACCTCAGTGTTCTCATCTGCACAAAAGGAGCAATAACAGAATGGGTTTGGGCCACATGAAACTGCCTATATTCACTGACTACACAGTACTGCCAGCTGAAATGAGTTCATACAAATTATCTGCTTATACCAGTGTAGGGTGAGAGATCAACATCTGGGAGCCATAATCATTGCCATTATGAATATCATTAACCCCTGAAGGGTGATATGCAAAGCATAATTGGTCCCTTCAACAGCCCTATCTCAGGAAGTTTCATCCCTGCCCCAACTACTAGAATTCCTGCTCTGGGCCTGAGGCAGAGCGCCAGGCTTTGCTTGTGCACACATGGAGGTGTGAGCATAGAGATCCAGCCCTTTCTCAGAGGCCAGCCATTGCACAAGAGAGCAGGGAAAGTGCCCAGGGTCATGGTAAGGGCATAGAGAGGGGTCTACCATACCTAAGGTGCAGGAGGAGGCTGAAGGCAGAGCTGGGCCTCATTAAGACAAACTTATCCTACAACCTTCACAGCTAAGTCTGCTTTCATGCAAAGAATTTGCTGGAACTGTTCAGACAGACAATACATTCATCCCGCCCGGTTTTCCCCCCAGCACTGTCCCCTCCTCGTGGACCCCTGTGCCCCAACCAACTAGGTCATCTCACACCCCTAAGGGAGAGAACCAGTCAAGGGAAAGTGAGTCGGGCAGGACTGCAGCAGGCTCCCCAGAAGAAGCCAGATCCTTCCAAGGACCCCTGAAGGGCTGCGCCAGGACAGAGTCCAGCAAAGCCTGCAGTCCCCATGCCAGAGGGGACCACACAGGGTACTGGGGCAGGGACTCAGAGACCAGGGCAGTGGGGGAGGCAACACTTTCTCTGAAAGGAAAAAGTGAGTGCTGGGTGGCTGGGGGCCAGAGGGCTGACTCAGGAACAAGAACTTCCCCGCCCAGAGGAGCTCTGTGACTTTACACCCTAAACAGTCAACAGCCCAGCCTCCAGGCCCAACAAATGCACACACACAAGCACCCATGCACACACACATAAAAAGCACCTCCTCTACCCTCGCTCCAATCCAGGCCCCCCAGTTGGCAGGAAAAAAATCTCCAACTTCAGCCAGGTACCAGCAGTCACACACAGAACTAGACACGAAAACAACCAGAGACCAGGCCAACCAGAAACCACTCAAATAAAAAACACCAACACTTGTGGTCACTAGTTGCCCACACAACACCAAGAACCACCATCAGAAAGCATGGGTGTGGATACATGTGTGCAAACACTGGTAACAGCTACCGTGAGTACACACCTCAACACAGGTACTACACACGTGTGATTTCTAACCCTGAGAGGCAGGTGGAATTATGCCCACTCTAAAGTTGGATAAATGAGGCTCTGGGAGGCAAAACAAGTGACTTGTAAATACATGGTACCTGGAAAAGCTGGGCCTTAAAATCAGAACCAATTTACTTCAAAGACTCTGAAATTTTTTTTTTTTTTTTTTTTTTTTTTTGGTACGGGGATTGAACTAAGACTCTGAAATTTATATTATTCTACACTTCTGTATCACACACAACACACATACACACACACACACACACACACAGTCGAATAAACACATAAAAGGCGAATACTCCAAGATAAATATTTAAATTTAAAGCCACAAACATTTCAAAAAATACAAATGTTTCTGCCATACCCAAGGATCAACCCTCAAGCCAGAAGTGATAGCCACTAAAAATAAACCCTCCTACAGAAGCCCAGCGCCAAAAACAAGTGATCAGACAACCACAAAATAGGAATGTCCTGATCAACACACACACACACACACACACACACACACACACACCCCACACGCGCCACCAGAGTACACACACACACACACACACACACACACACACACACACCACAAGCCAGCCAAGTGCCATCACCGGAGAGCCAACAGAGATGCCCAACCAGGACATGCATCCCCCCACACATGCCACAGGGTCTGGATTCTCTGCACATTCACTCAGTTTCACAGAACCACCACTGTGCCCACAGTTTTCTCTGAGGCTTCAGGACCTCAGCCAGTAACCAGCCCCAAGTAACATAGGGCCAGAGAGTCATCACCTCAGCCCAGGCTTACAGGGGGTTGCTGGTCTGAACTGGAACAGGAGTTTGGCTGAGATGCCTTCTGAATCTCCACCAACCTGCCCTGTGCCCAGATTCCTAAAAGCAGCCAAGATGCAAGTCCAGGCACAGCTGCCTCTCCCAGCTCCCCTGTCATCATTTCCAAAGGGGTCCAAGCTGCTGAATGAGAGAGGCTGCCCTCCCTGTCCTGTCCCTTTAGAATTGGACTCCTTGCTGCACCAGAAAGCTGGCTGTTTTCAGCGAGGAAAAGTACCCCAGGCAAGAAGCTGTCATCCACCCAGATTTCTGGGGCCACTCCCTGGAGAATGGGACCCCCTCAGACCAGTGAGAAGGAACTGAAGAGCTGGCTTTCCTTCTCACTGGGCCCGGAGGCTACAGGGCCCATGGGAGGCTACACTGGGAGATGCCAGCACTCCCCTCCATCCTCTCTGCATGGCAAAGATGCCCTACACAGTGGTCTCACACCTAGACAGGGAGGCCATGACAGTGTCTGGGTGCAAACCTCATTTGAGAGCATCCTCAATCTTCAGCATCTGCCTAGAGTTCATAAAAGAAAATCTTTTGGTAAGACAGCCAAGACTGTGTCCCCAAAGCAAGTGGGAGAGCTCATTGATTCCCACCACCTGACATCCAGGCCCTTCCTTGTTCCTTCTGGCTAGGCCTCACTCTTCATTGATTTTGAAAACATCAATGTTAAACTTGTTTTGCCATGTAATTTATCCCCCCATGGGCTCCTGTTTGCAGCAGCATCAGGAACAGTAACTGCCAAGACACTAAGGTCCTGTAAGAAAATCAAAGACGTGTAAATTGTTTGATTGAATCCTATTTGCTAAAGACAAATGAAATCTCTCTTGCTGTCTTCAAAGAAGAGCCCAGGTGCTCAGTGCCAGCCATAAGGAGCATATGTTCCAGGCCACTGTGCACACTCATTGACTTGTCCTCCCCTTTGTATCAAGGGCAGAATCAAGGACACTCAGGTCTGTCTGCCCCCCGCCGGAAGGCTCTGATGATGCCAGCATGGGGCATGACCTATGGAACACATACCTCTCCTCTTCTCATGCACATGAAGGTAGGTGTCCCTGGCACCCCCAGTCCCCTAGTATGCACAATCTTGTCACTCCCTCCTCCCCATTCACCATGGCCACATTAAGAGCCATTTACCGGGACCACAAGAAGCTGGAATGTAATGTTGGTTTCAATCTATCAAGACAGGAAGGGCAAAAGAGAGAGGCGAACAGAAAGAGGATAAGAAGTGAAATACGGTGGGGGAGGGAGAACAGAGGACTTACAGGGGCGGGGAGGAGATGGCTTTAAGTCCATCCAGCTGAGGAGCCAACAGAGCCATTTCATCTAAGTCCTGGCTGCCTCCATAGGACTGGCCAGCTCAGATAAAGCCACCTGAGATGAAAGGACTTGATCACTCAAAGAGAGGTGGCACAAGATAAAGGGAGGTGTGCTTAGATAAAGGTGGCTGCTTAGGGGGTCTCTGGCACAGGTGACAGTGGATTAAAAGGACTAACTGTGCAGGGACATAGGCCATAGGTAGAACAAGATGGTGAGCTCCAGGCCAGCAGCCCAGGACATCCTATCCCATAGGCCACCTCTCTGTCCACTTCTCTAGGGAAGCTAAAAGTCCAGAATGCCCTCAAAGACCCTCTTGCTTTGTCTGTATCTCCCTGCTCATCCTAGCCTGGACTCCACCCTTTACACTGAGCTAACTGCATGCACCAAGGGGCCCTTCTTCCACCATGGCCAGGATCCAGATGTGCGAGTCATACTTTTGGAAAGACTGGAGGAAAATCCCCAGCAGACTTGGATGGGGACCTGCTCTCTAAAGCACCCTCCCAGGAGCGTGTTGTGTGGAGGCGTGTGCAGTACGACAAGCATGGGGTGGACCCAGCTGCAGGAGAGGCAAGGCATATCCATCTAGCATGCTCAAAACAGAACCTAAGAAATGAACACATGAGATATTACGAGTACATAACTTTAGGGTAGCTGCTTTCTCATTCTGAATTTCTTAAGAACCTCTTCTGGAAGTTGTTAAAAATCTAGATTCCAGGACCCTAACTCCAGATATTTCTAGCCAGGGTCAAGAATCAGCATTTTAAGGAATTCTTCTGAAGTCTGGGCACATATGCAGGGGGAGAACACCTTACAAAATCCAGACCCAGGTGATCAGCTCCTCAGAATGACTTAAGGACACGATGACCTCCAACACCGCCGCCCCTCCTCATGAACAGCAAAGAGATTTCACTTACATCGATATCAGGACAGATGGCCCAACCATGAAGAATAGAAGGTGCCAGCAGAGGTGACTGTAAGGAAGGGATCTCCTTCTTTGACAATGATTCAGTGAGAAGAGACCCCTCCCTGATCAAATGGCAGGTGTGATTTGAATGGAGCATGATTTATTAAGGCTTCTAGGATGGGGCTCTCCATAATAAAAAAGTCCTTTGGGTCCATGTCCAGCAAATAACAATTCATTAAAATACATTATCCAGAGCAGCAATGACCAACTAACGTGGAAGAAAATCAATTCTGTGCCCCAGGAAGAAGCACTGTGCCCACCCTGGGCACAGTGTGGAGGCAG